TGATGTCAGCATCACGTCAGCCGCGTTTACTTCCCAGGACTGTACCTGGTGTCCACTTAAGACTGGGTCAACCTGGGAGACAAGGTCACTTTTGAAAAAAGTTCGGCTCCGTCAGGACGCGAACCCACGACCTTCCGATCCGCACGCGAGCGTCTAGCCGCCAACGAAACGGCGACTCCCAACGGTTAGGTGATTAAATATAATTAATTAATTAATTAATTAATTAATCGCATATTTCTAACCATATTAACTTTCCGTGTGGGTCTCGGGGACTCACTGTGTGTATGGAGGGGGGGGGGAGGGAGGGGTGGATACAGAATAAACCCACTGCCTCATTGATATCATGTCGTAAGAGTCGACTAGTTGCGGGTTTCTTTCGCAGTCGGAGAGCGACTGCCTGAGAGGTAAGGAACTAGAAGTCTGCCCACAAATAAGCCAGGTCTGTAAAACGGATGTGCATCAAAACTCAAATTCCGGAGAGAAAAAAAAAAACAGGAGTCCATTAGCGGACTAACAACAATAACCTTCCGCCGAAGTTTACAGCCGAAGGACGCGAGAGTGTTCGTTATAATCATTTAAGTTCTTATGTTCCTGTTGCTTTTTTCTGCCATTTTATTTATTATATTTGTTAACTGATATTGTAAAGTCGTCCCTATGTGGAATGTAACGTTTTTATTATTTAAAGCCCCACCCTGGCTTCTGCCAAGGGCCCTGAATAAAGCCGGGGCATAAATATGGCCTAGCCATAGATATAGCCTAACAGCTGAAAGGGATTTCTGGGACCTCTCCACGGGTGATCCTCATCCGCATTGTGGCACTTTGTGTCACTGGGTGTTTATCACTTGTGTGATGTCCTGGTGGGGTACAACTACCTACCTACCCGGCACTGTGTTTTCAGTGGACGGACAAGTAAACACTTTATAAAGTGCTTTTATCTGCTCATTTTACACAGTCTATAAAGGTTAATTGCTTATCCTTTACAGGACGTAGCAGAACTAACCCCAACAGTTTTTCTAGGCAAATTTACGTCCAGTAGTTCACCATTGCTCCTAAACGGTCGGCTTACTTGATACCACTGTCGAAACAAATGCAAGGCGTATGACCCCCAGCTGGGTGCGAACCCGGCATCCCGGCATTACGAAGCGTTCGCATCGACTTAGCCACAGAGCCGACACACGATCTATAGCACACCTGTTATTGTTTGCGTACACTCTATCGGGATCCCCCCCCCCCCCTTTTTTTTTTTCCTCTGGTAAAGACCGATCGAAACTTCAGGTTGCAGTTTCGTAACCTTTCCCGCTCCCTCCCCAACCAGTAAAAAGTAAAGGTCCCTTTTCCACGCCTAAACAGGGCATATAGGGCTAGACCTATATTTTATAGACTAATCGGCACAAGTAGGTGATGTGTTCAGGTTCACACCGGCCGCCTTTATCTCCCGGGACTGCACCCGGTACCCACTCAAGGCTGGGTCAACCTGGTGGTCAAAGTCATTTTGAAAAAAAAGTCCGGCTCCGCCAGGGAACGAATTCACGATCTTCCGATCCGTGGGCGAGCGTCTAGCCACTACGCCAAGGCAACTCCCTCACCCAGTAAATCTTATTCAGTTCTGTTCTGAGTTTTGTTGAGTTAATGTAACTTCACTAAAATACTCATGCTGAATAGATTCAGTATGTGTAATCTACTTACTGTGCCTAGGAGACAAGTGTTTCCCCTTACGACACCGCAGCAGCCTATGGAGGTGACGATGATGATGAGGATACCAAAGACGACCAGGACAACTGATAGGATGCTCGTCAAATCTTTCTCGCCCGTGTCACTGAAAGAGGAAAAAAAAAACAGTAAAAATATGTCGATGTCTCTTTAAAGACCGTCTTATCGTATCTTCTTCATTTTCCGTGTGGGTTCCGGGGGCCCCGTTATGGGGACAAGCAAGAATAGACCTACTGCTTCCTCAACAAGCGTGTCGTAGGAGTGACTGGTTGGAGACGAAGTCGGAGTGCCTCTGCCCTAGTGGTAAGAAACAGCCAACTGCACAAAGATAAGCCAGTAGAAACTGATGTACACTCAAAACTTAGACCCTGGCACAAAGCCAAAGTCCATGTGGATGAACAATCAGAACTGTCTACCGGAGCTTATAGTGGGTAAACAAAGAAGCAGAGGAAGTATCTTCATTACCAATATCGACTGTCTAATACTTCTGCTTGCTTCTTTTGCTGTTTGACTTGAGACGGGGCATCACAGAGAGCTATACTAAAGCGGACGTATACCGAGGTTTAAGAAAAGTTACTTACTTATCATTTACAGAACGTTGCAGAATCACCCCAGCGTTTTTTGGTTGTTGTGGTTTTTCTAGGCAAATGCTACGTTCATTAGTTTGCCACTGCTTCCTCAAATGTCAGCTCTCGGCACAGTCGAAATCAACGCAAGACAAATCGTCTACAGCTGGGATCAAACCCAACACCCCGGTATTACAAAGCGCGTTTGTATCGCCTAAGCCACAGACGCCGACATACAGAAGAACCACTGTTAGTGACTTTCATCAGTTTTATACAAAGTTTCATCATCATCAAGTGCCTTGTCAGCTGGCAAACAGTTTACCTGGAATTAAATATGTGGCTTATTTTCGGAAGGCTCCTCATACAACCAGATTGCTTTTAGTATATTTAATCTGGTCAGCATGTCACTAAAGCGGGGGTTGATATTAAATACCTGATGACTGTATTGATTACTCACAATTCATTCAGAAATTACACCACCTGTGAATTCACAAACAAACGCACACCTGCTACACTTCGTTACATACAAGGACAATGTGCACTTATAGAATATTTTTGGTTATTTATGTACACACTTTTAACTGGAGCATATTGATTGAGGTGTGGGAGAACTGTACTCACGTAAGCGTGAGCAAACGAACACACACACATACAAGTACATACACAAACACACTCACAATACCAGGGCCGCCAACGCAAAGAAAACATCTAAGAACTGAGCCCTTTTATAATTGTCTAGAGTCCAACAAGGGTCTCAATAGGTTTGAGTCTTGTTTAAGTATGCAGTTATTATTATTACTATTATTATTATTATTATTATTATTATTATTATTATTATTATTATTATTATTATTATTATGTAAATGGCAGAATATCAAATAATTTGTTTCAGGTAATATGAAGGGATTAAACAAATACTGAAATCGAGAACATCTATACAATGTAGGCGTATCATTTATCCCCCTTTCCTATATTGTCGTGGAATGTGATCTGAGCCTCCTAACATTTTTACTGGGGGGGAGGGGGAGAATAGAGGAGAGGGTGGTGGTGGGGGAGGGGAGGGGGGGGAGGGGGGCGCTCAATGTGTCTTAACTCCCAGATTCTGGCGTCTATGATAACACCCTCATTCACATGTGTGGTAGACTCGTCTGATACCAAACTATCTTCGGTTCAAGTCTCACCAAAAATCAAAATTATTATAACTACGTGGCGTCCAGTGACACGATGATCACATTAGCCACCCAGTGCCACCCAGGTCTATAACATATATTTCTAGCCGTATATATCCAATACGCCTGAGGGGGTGGAAAACGGTCTTTTAGATTTGTTTTTTTACGTGGCCCCTACACAATCTATACGGGCAAAGCAGCCGTGAAATAGTTATCCATATAGTGTATTCTGGTCAAGTAACTGTCTCGTAGAATCTTGTCTGGCTCTGTGTTATTTAACAGAATGTCTTCCCATTGTTTAACTTAAATAACCTGGTCACAAACAAATCAAGCTGCACGGTGTATCGTTGAATTTTCGGTAAAGAGATGAATGGTCCTGCTTGACAATGCGATTTATGTAATTCCGCAAAAATGACTAATTTTGTTTGGGCTTCATTATATGTTAGTGTAACTATCTAGTAATGCACTGGCGAGATACAGAGACATATTCCAGGCAACAGCTTGTGCAATGTATTTTTTGTGTCCACATTTTTAAAAACCTTTATTTGCCTGACGCCACGCCTTTCCAACTTGGTCCTGGAGAAAATTTTAAGGAAATTGAGACAAGAGTGTACTACAGGAGAAACTACAAGAATACTTGGTTATGCAGGTGACACTGATATTGCTGGAGAGAATGAACTTGAGACTGTAAAAACACTGACTCTCTTGAAAGAAGCAACCTACAACATAGGAGTAGTTATCAATCAAGAATACATGATAAAAACAATACAGGGACAGGATATAAACTCTGACCACACAAAAAGTCGATAATATGAAAATCAAGCGAACGGAAACATATAAGTACTTGGGTGCAAGCTTCAAGTACTCCAACATGTTAAGAGAAGAAATACAATCTATAATACAATCTTGAAATAACGTGTACTATGCACTTCAACATTTGCTAAAGTCAAAGTCTCTATCTTGCAACACGAAGATCAAAATATATGAAACATTGAAAAAAGCAGTCTTTTTATTTGGCTCAAAAACCCGGAGCATACTAAAAGAGATGAATTCTTATTTCACATTTTCGAAAACAATCTTACAATGAACCTTTGGACCCATCAAAGATGCAAACAGTGGGGAAGGGTGAGTAAAAAGCAACAACAAAATTCATAATCTGTTTAGATAACCATTGATCACTGGCGTCACAAAAGCTAATAGTCTGAAATGGCTGGGGCATATTGAGTCCGTGTCAGATGACAGAGAGGTTAAAGACTATATACACAAGGGAACTGAATGGTCGTAGACCACGAGATAGACCAGGAAGACCATGGAGAGATAATACCCATACAGATCTGCAAATACTTGATATCACCTACTGGAAAGAGAAGGCCAACAGGAGATATCAATGGAGAAGGGTGATATCTGCAGCAATGAACATCAAGGGCTCGGAATGCTGAAGAAGAAGAAGAAGAAGAAGAAGAAGAAGAAGAAGAAGAAGAAGAAGAAGAAGAAGAAGAAGAAGAAGAAGAAGAAGAAGAAGAAGAAGAAGTTATGTGTTGCTCTATGTTTTGTTTCCAGATATTATTTCTTGTTCGATGTGTTATTCTAGCTGTGTGTAATTTCTAGCTTTGTATCTTACATGACTCATCAACACGGCGTATTTGACCTCACAAGAGCAAACCTGTAGATGATCTGGTACTCCTCGTTAGGTTCCATCACCGTCATCCGTTGGGCTACGTGACGGCCGCTGTCGTCCATTATCAACCAGACACCCACCGATAGAAGAGCACATCCCAGCAGCTGCGGAGGAATAAGGTACACAATACTAGGCATGTTACCGAGCCAATACGGATTAGTTAGGATCACGTTAATCTCCCCAAATAGAGTAGGTCACTTTTCATTCACAAGTTTGTTAGGCTGGTCGATTTACTGAAGTTTACGGGTGTGTCCCGCCCTGTTTTTTGTTTCGTTGTCTTTTACGTTTTTATTTCGAGAAAGATAATGCCTGTGACATAGGTTGCAGCACTCTCTAGGGGGTGTTGTGTTAGGGTCAGTTTCTCCGTTTTGGAGTGTTAAAAGCTCTGACGTGCTGAAATATACAACACGCCATATCAACAGCATCGCGGAACAATACTCTGACCTTGTGCGAAGGTCACGGGGCTCAGGAACTACCAGGTCATGGGGATCAGGAACTACTAATCAGAATGGAGCTAGTGTGTATACTGGAAAAGGGGGGGGGGGGGGGGTGGGGGGCTGGGTAGACTAACGTTACGTGTTCCGGTAACTATTGCTTTCTATTTTTATATTGTTTATTCTGTATCGGAGATGCGGTTATAAAGAAGAATCGGTACTACTTAAGAAAGTCACCATTTGTTCGGGTGCGAAATTTCTTGGCCGTTCCACGGGCTGTACTATGTTCTAGGGGTGTTATGAGATGCTTTCCTTCGTCGTCTATACACACCGTGCGGAAAACTGGCTCCCGTTCGTTCGACGCGGTCAACACTCTGTGTTCCAGAGAAAAGTGCGCAGTTTTTTTTTTTGCAACTCTTTGTTCTCTAAACGTTTCTGGACTGTGTTGTTGCTGTAAATAGCTCAGGCGTCGAAGGCGCCTGTGTGCAAGAAGAAATACTGCAGAGGGAAGCATAGGAGGGGTGACGGTTCGGGAGTATCAAATCATTGATGTTTTTGTTTTTGTACGCTCGTTGGCGGTGGCTCTCGTCGATGGTGGATGTGCTTAAAACGTCCAAAACGAACATCCCTTGAACACAGGACAGCCCGTGGGAACCGCTACAATATTTCGCAGCCGAACGACCTGGGTGAATTTCGCTAGTAGTACTGAAGAATCTTTAGAATTCCTTGAACAGCCAAAAAAGAGCAACCCAGATGTTTTGAAAGAGGCAAGGGCTCGAAGACAGCTTTTCACAAACATCAGAAAAAGAAAGTCAACATCTTGTGTGTGTGTATATGGGGGGGGGGGGGGAGGCAGGGAGGGGTGGGGGGTTGTTATGACAACAAGGAAACTAAAACATATTGTGACAACTGGGAATATGTGTAGAAAAATACACAGAGGAAGACAACACAAGACGATTCTTGACGGCGTTTTGTCATGGTATGGAAGCGGCGTCACCACACGAATTCATACACGCAGGTGAATATCGCAGACCTTTGAGAGGTATGGTCACCAATGCCAGTCGGCGCGGTACTTGATGATGATAATTATTTCATATTTCTACCTCTTTCCTCTGCATCTATGAGTGCCTACCAATAAAGGTGTAAATCTATTCAAAACTAAATGTCATAGGAAGTAAATGCGCGCGGAGTGATGTTGAGAATATCACCCATGGCACAAACGACAAGTAAACGTTCCGGCTAAAGAGCCTTCACTAGCACGATATAAAAATCTACAATTCCACAAGTAGGAACAAGAACACACAAAATTCACCTAATTGATGTATCTCCGATAGAAATCACATCGCCGTCAGGCCCGTAGACTTTGAAAACATACTGTCGTAATTTATTCATCAATTCTACAACGCCGGTAACAGATGGCTGTCACAGCTTTATGAGACCTAGCCGAACACCTGTCACGGGCCAGGGAAATTCGTTTCAATTACGACGACAACTTGTGCCACTTTGCACTTTGCAGAGCGCTATCTGGTCAACTGACTCTGTATTTACATCTCATTTGGCAGAGCTCTTACTTTCTCCCTGTCTCCTTCCCCCATCCCCTCCCATCCCCTCCCCACCCATCCTTTCCTTAAGGGTTCTTCTTCTTCTTTTGTCATTTCACCGACACCTGGTTGTAACCCAGTGTCGTGGTTTTTTTGTGTGTGGGTATATGTCTTGGGCTTCTTTTTTTTTGGTTGCAAGTTTCTGCTACACCAATTATGCATCTCTTCGTTGGTCTTTCCTTCGTTTTCCTCCCAGATGTTCTGCTGTAAAAAGTGTCATATGCAGATTTGTCTGGCTACATTCTCACAAGATGGCTGAACCATTTTATTATTTGTCTGTCAATAAAATGCAGAAACGGTCTTATTCCAACTTTCTCTCTAATGCTGGTATTCGTCACCCAGTCTCTTCTTGTGTTGTTACTGACCTTGCGGAGACAGCGCATTTCACGTGTAATTTTCTGTTCTAGTGCCTTCAGGGCTGCTAACTAAATATTTGATTACCATGCGACCTAACAGCTGTATTCTGGATGGCAGAAGAACAGGTCAAATTCCAGGTAGGCAGCCCTGTTTAACCTTCATATTGGTTATAATCAGAGTGCCTTTACAAGTAAAACGCCAAGGACTACCATAGTGAACTCTGTAGTCCTGTGTGGGTAATCATTTAAGAAAGCATAGTTTTGCTATAAATCAGACAAATATTAGTTTCTTTTAATGGTATCCTATTTCAAGACGTGGAGTCGTACATCTATTTGGACAGAAATGTAGATAAAGATGGGGGAAATTATAAAGATATTAAAATACGAATACAAAAGCCAAGAGGAGCTTTCATAGCACTAGGAAGTTTGTGGAGGTCAAAAGTAATTAAAACTTTCACTAAGCTTAAAAATAAAAATTATTCTAATGTAAGTACCGTTGTATGGAATGGGAACAGGAGAACAACTAAGGCAATTAATAATAAACTCCGTTCATTAGCTGGCGCCTGCGCAGAATAGAGACAATTAAATTGTATGATAGAATCCCTAATGTAGAGCTTTGGGAGAGAAATAAACAAGTTCTAGTTGTCCAAGCGGTGAAAACACTGACGTTGGATAGGACATACGCTGAGTAAACCTAAGAACAATAAACCTACAATGTCTTTGCACTGGAACCAACAGGAGCGTATACAAAAAGGAAGGACCCCCCCCCCCACCCTCCCCCCCGTTCCCCCAAAAAAAAACCCGCACACGGAGAAGGAAAAAATGGAGAGAAGTTACAAAGATGGGGAGAACATGGCGAAACTGCTTGCGATGGCAAAGTATAGAACGACTTAACGTGAGATGGTTGAGGGCCTATGCTCCACTGGCAGTTAGAGAGATAGAAGAAGAAAATTTGTGTCTTGGTTGCTCTTGGTCTTTATTTTCATGTAATGTCTCTTGCTCTCTCTCTCTCTCTCTCTCTCTCTCTCTCTCTCTCTCTCTCTCTCTCTCTCTCTCTCTCTCTCTCTCTCTCTCTCTCTCTCTCTCTCGTTGAGTTTTTTCTTCCAGTTTCCTCTTTCTCTTTGTTTCTGATTCTTTCTGCCAAACAAGTTGTTTTCAATACACTGTCGTTCTACTTCTTCCAGTTGTCTCTATTAATTTCTCCGCAGACAAAAACACGAATATATGCATAAATTTTTATACACATACTTCAGCTTTTATTTTAATGTTGGCAAACATTCAAACATGGTTTAACTATGCAGGGTCAGCTTAAATTTAACCCTGCATAGATCTGCGTTGTTTCTTAAGTAAATAAATGTTGTTCTTTTGTTTTTGTTACATCCTCCATTTATATTTAGATACTAATGTACTACAGTTCTGTCACATCACAGCGTTTTCCCCATTCTTTCATTAAAGACACATGTTTTCAGTTTTTGCACCCCCCCCCCCGCCCCCTTCCACACCCAGCTGTATTGCACATGTTGACTTCATGTTGTCGATTACGTTCAGAATAGCGTGCACTTTTCCCCGTGCCATACCAGCTTTCGCCAGTAGTAGTTTGCGCCATATGTGAGCTGCAGTTCTGGCGTGGGACCGTTAGTTTTCCAGTGGCGAGGTGTGATCAATATGCACGCATAAGCGGTTTATACCAGATTAAGCGCTAGCAGGTAGCGATTAACCCTTTAAAAGTAAAGTTTGTTTCTTCGACTTTTCGTTTATTTGAATCAGTAACTGGTAGTTCTCACATGTTACAATGTCTAAATAAATGGCGCAAGCATGCATCGAGCGTTCTTTTCGCTATTTAAATACTGTTAACCAGCTTTACGTGCTCAGTGAAACGTAAGCATATTTGTAAAAAAAAAAAAAAAAAATGCTTAACAATAGTAATAAATAGTAAATTAACGCAGTTTTCATTTGCGGTCGAACATGTAATTAACGATTACAATCGCTTCATGCACGCCTTGCCACTGTACTTTGAACCATCTGACCTTATGTATTTCACTTTACGTGTGCAAGCTTGAAGATGTTGCTGTGACTGACATGTTTTCCCACTAGTTTTCAAATGAGACAGAGAAGAACATTTTGTGTGATCTCTGCTAGCACAGGAGCCGAGCAGTTACGCCTGCAGTGATGTCGGAGCCTCGACTAACGACTTGATGGAGAACTGGATTCATCTTAACAAGAGTTTAATGCAGTGGCTCTCAAAGTTCCTGCTGCCACGACTCTTTAATACAGTTCCCCCATGTTGTGGCGACCCCCAAACAATTATTTTCTTTCATAGCTTCAATGGTCGTGTGTTTTCCGATGGTCTTGAAAGGGTCGTTCTGGCCCCCCCCCCCCCCCCCCCCCCCCCCCCCCCATAAAAAAAAAAAGCGTAGCGACCCTCAGGTTGAGAACCGCTGGTTTAAAGGAACATGCTGACCCCATCACGCATCGAGTGCCTTTTGGTCTATAAAACTAGGCTTAGCATCAAATGCTTAACGGGTCACCAACATGAACATGGTTGGCCACTTTCTGTCTGACGTGTTGCTAGAGCAGTAGCCGTGAAGTGGCTAAAAGGTTAGCATTTGTATTTTTGCCGCCCACCTTCGAATTCAGGGGAACAAGAACCAAACTTTCGAACTGCTTGTCAAGCTGTCCCATTCGGCTCAAATATGCGGCTAACCGTTGGAAG